GGCCGTCGGCCGCGCGGGGTGCCGCCCAGTGCCCCCGGCATTTCCGATTTGGGTGCGCAGCGCCCGGTCCAGCCCCACCCCGCCACGCCCATTTGGACGCTGCTGTCTGGTGCCACGTCTGCCTCGTTCTGGGGGTGCAGGACAGTAGGCCCCGCGGTGACCGCCGGTGGGCGGGGCTCGCCGAGAGGGGCGGGGTCAGCAGGGGCCACGCGACCGGCCCAGGGCACCTCGCATCCCCCGGTGCGTCCCATCCACGCCTTCCCGCCAGCGCGGGGGTCTGCTGGAGGCCCGGCGGGAGCGGCGGGCCTCCCCTGCCCAACTGCTGGCGCTCAGGCCCCAGCATGGCCGCCCTGTGCGCAGGGCAGTGCTCTGGGGCTCCATCTCCCCGCCCCGCCCCGCCCCCAGAACTCGGGTACCTCCGGGCAGCACCTCGCCCGAGGGGGGTCAGACCCAGCCATTGGACATGGTGACTTCCAGGGCCTGGGCAGCCCACAGGCGTCCTGCCAGCGGGCGGCAAGTGACCAGTGCCTGGGGAGCCCCAAAAGGCACCATGAGCTCAGTCGGGGTGCAGACGCCTGCCGCTGGGGCCCGCGGGCGGCGCGGTCAGGGCCGGGCCGGGGTGGCTCTGTAGGGCGCAGCCTCAGCAAGACGCCTTCCTGGCCCCACCCTGCCGCCCAGGGCTATCCTGGTGCTTGCTGTGGGGCGCCTGTGGGGTGCCGGCAAGAGGAGGCGTCCAGGTGGGGTCTGCAGCAGAGCAGGTCCAGGCCTCAGGGCTGGACATTGGGGGACCAGTGGAGTGTGAAGAAGCCGAGTCCAGGGAGCCCCGGGGAGGGGCCTCCGGGGCTGGGCAGCCCTGCCCCGGGCACAGCAGTGCCCAACCCACCGCCCGACCCGCGGGCCGGCCAGGTGCCCCGAGAGCCGGAGCCTGCTGCCGGGGGCGGCCACGGGACGGCACTGTGACCCCTGCGCCCGGGCTGCGGGGGCTCTGCCCTGAGGCTGTGGCTGCGTGGGTGGCCACGAGCCGAGAGCCGCAGCTCCCCCCCGCCCGGGCCGCGCGCAGACCGGCGGACGGAGGACAGGAGACAGCTCGGGCTTCTCAGCGCAGACGCTTTACTCTGGGCGCGCTGCTGACCTGGGGTGGGCCGGCAAGGCACGAGGTGGGTCCGCTTTTGGCGGGCACCACTGAGCACCGGGGAGCAGGGCCGGGCCGGACAGGCCGGGAGGGGCCAGCAGAGGCCGCGGCGGCGGCTCAGGCCTCGGCCCGGTAGCGCAGGCGCAGCAGGCGGTCTCTGGCGGCCTGGTCGCTGTCGCGGCCGCCCGGCGCGGTGCGCACCACCCTGCCGGCCATCACGAGGTCCCGCACCGTGTGCTTGGCCACGGAGACCGGGCCGGGCGCGTCCAGCCCGGCCGGGCCCGTGAGGATGACACAGGCAGCGTGGCGGCTGGTCTCAAACAGGCCCACTGCGGGGACACGGTCGTCAGGGCTCGGGCCGGGGGACGCCCAGGGGCGCGGCCCGCGGGCCCACTCACCGTGGGAGGCGGCGATGGGGGCGGAGACGTTGGTCAGCTCCAGCAGGACGCCCGGCAGGGTGGGGTGGAACAGGTACAGCGTGTGCCTGGGGCCACTCTGGTCCTGGGGGCAGCGCGGGTGAGGCCGCCCGCCTCGGGGTCCCGGCCCGACCCTGCTCTGCCGTGACCCCTCCCGC